TTGATGTAGCAATAGTTCAATTATAAATTATTTGAATGATCCAAACCAAAATATTATACCTCTGTTAGATATTAAATTGTTTTTTCAAGTAATAATCAATTTTGAACAAATTCTAATTCTAGTCGAACTCTAAAATGGAGTTAGACAATTTGCTAATTAGAACGTCGATATATGAAAATTGAAAAAAAAAGTTTATCAAGATAAATAGAAATATATTGAACATATTTTGTCATTTTAAATAATATTTTATTCATTTACTTTTATATATTTTTAAATTTCAGTTCTATATATATGTAGAGTTCGGCTTCATCTTGTGAGATGGCATTACTATCTACGTATTTCGCATCGTTTTTTTCCTAACGCCTGTTGCAATAAATATTGAATTTTCATCTATCTCCTTTCCTCACTTTGACTCAAATAGCCAAATATACACGCACAACGCTCTTTTTTAGGTAGCTTTACGATTTATCTGTACATCGCTTTGATTCGCATATTTTGAGTCCTTACATATATAAATTTATTATTTATATAGAAATTTACAATTTAAATGTATAAAATTTTGAAACAAAATCGGCCGGAAATTTTTTTAATTTTTATATATTAATCATTTTTTTTTAACATACATTTTTTAAAGAGTGAATAAAAATTTTGTGAATTCTGTAATTAAAATATATTTTTTTAAATTTGACATTTAAACCGTGTATAAAATATCACAAATATGAAATAATAATCAGCGATAATTTTCAAAGGGAATTTTTTATTGAAAAAGTTTCATCATACTGTCAATTTTCTTTATAAAATAATGTAGTTTATATTAATTGAGTACTGAATGACACACAGGTAGAAGTAGATTAATATATTTCCTGCGTGACATTTTCTGTCATTTATAACCAAGTGATATGTACTAAATGCGGATAATGCAGCCTTCGATTCGACGAGCTGGTTAATAAATTTATCGCCCGGCGTAACGACAAATATGTGCCACAAGGGAGTTTCGGTGGTGCTCTGATACAGTTCCGCTATTTTCATACCGTCTATTTTCTGGCACACTGACATCCCGACCCTCATTTTCATCCCTATCCCTTTTCGGCCCACCTCTCATATCACAATGAACTTCCCCCTCGGTCTCACTCTTCTACTTTTACAACATGTCGGTTTAAATATGGACATAATTTCATAATACACTGTTCAGTGCGAAACATGTTGATTAATTAGAAACAATTATAATTTGTGTTGAATTCTATCCACTGATATTTTTTAGTGTGTATTTCAATTTATATTTCAACTAGTTTTTTTTTGTCTATTTTTGAGTATGATTATTGTTATTATTATCACCAATGAATTTAACATGACAAAAAATAACATCGGAAAAATTTTAAGTGACATATACACCGAATAAACGTAGCGGATGTTAAAAAAATATTCTGTACTCGTCAGTAACTGACAGACGTAGAAGTGAGTCGCAAGGTTGTCAATATGTCACGTAAAATTTTTTTATTGTCACATATCAATTTTTAATGAATATACCCGTGTAAAAATGATATGATATCATTATGAGGCTCGTAATGAATATCATAATGAATCTCATATTTTGGCACTGATATGAGATTCATATAAGAGTCATATCAATACTTTAGAAACCCGTAATAAGTAAAATACCTGTGGGAACGAATTTTTTTAAGTAGATCAGTAAAATTTTCATTTTTTCTGCTAATTAGAGGAAATGTATAATAATTGAGAAAAACAGTATTTTTATCATGCACTATACTGTTGAACTACTTAACTTTTCTCCTCGTCTTTCTTAACTTAGAAAAATATTTAGAAAAACACTGACTATCTTGGTTTAAAAAAAATTTTTGACTGAAAAGATTTTTTCGTCTCAAGATAATTATTTTCTTATTTTGAAAACAATTTAAATCCTCCTAAAAATTTCTTTAATTTAATTATTTTGCAATATTTCCTGTATACAGTTATGACTCAATAATTTTATATCACGATTTAAAAAGACTATCAATATCATTATGATTTTATAAAGATATGATCATCATTTAATTATTAATTCATTTTAATATCATTATTGTGGAATGGTCATTTTTAGATTTAAGTTTCTCTATTTTATTGTTTTATTGCACCTTTGTACTTAGCAGTAAGTATTTTTTCGAAAAGGTTGTAAATAAAGGGATTAAGAAAAATTCCCAAATAACAGATGTTTAGTTAAGATAGTTTAGAAAATATTCGTATGCGTGGGAACGTAAGTATAGATTTGTCTCGTGGCAAAAATGTACATTATAAGTAACGAGAGTGTAAGAACGAAGTATGACTGATGCGGGGGTGAGAAACCCAGGTAGTAAGTAAAGATCTAATTGTATGGGACTCAAGCAGGCAGTTCCTACTTAACTTCGATGTACGACAGACCTCTGTCTTTTAACTCTGTCAATTTTTCTAATAAATACTCACTTTAAATTAACCGCCCCGTGATACCTTAATAATAACATCTTTAATAAACATTTAGTATCCTATCCAATAAAATCCGATACTACATTATGATTTCATAATGAAATTATGTTAATATCATCATGGAGATACTGTCTTAATGAATTTCCAACAGTTACAAAAAAGTTTTTTTCTTGAATTATGAATAGAAGGCCACAATATCATTACAATATCATGATGAATTTAAAAAAATATCAGACTGATTCCATCATAAGTTTACGCAGTTACTATTATGACTTCAGTATGAAATTATGCGTTTGTCACTATAGATTTGTCACGAATCTCCATGAGACTGATCCGTGTGGATCAAATTTTATATTTAACATTTAATAATAATTTTAAATTACTAGAAATTTGCTTTCTCCAATGAGAAAAATAAAAATTTTATAATCTAGTTAAAAAAAAATTCGTTTCCATAAGTATTTTACTAAATACAGATTTCAAATGTATTGATATGGCTTTTATATGAATCTCATATTAGTGCCAAAATATGAGATTCATTATGATATTCATTATGAGCCTCATAATGATATTATATCATTTTTACACAATATTTTTAATATTGCAACTACTACTGTAACTGAAATTTTCAACCATTTTATCATTTTTTTTTTTTTATAGATTCCTATGAAAAAAAAAAACTTTTTTTTTCATAGATCGTAAAAGTAATAATTTCAATAACTCCATTATAATTTTTCGACTTAGATAAATTGCAGTAAAATTTTCATGCGACATAATTTATATATTAACTTTAAAATAACAACCAGTTATTTATATATGTCAAATTTTTGATATTTTAAAATTTAAGATTTTATAATAAAAAAATTTTAATATTTGAAATTTTATAAAAAAATTTCTCTTATAATTTTTTCTTAAGACCAATAAAAAAGCCGCAATTTAAAAATTAAAATTTTTATAATTAGCCAAAATTCGAATCATTTATTATAAATGTTAATTGAGAAATTACGACCGTAAAAAAAATTATCCGAGCTGTATCTTGTAGAAAATTAAATTTCTCAAAACTTTTTTTTACGACTGATATTTTCGACAAAAATCTTAGACCTGTTCAGAAAATTCAAAGTACTAGTTTTTTAATATATTCCGTTAGATCAGTATACTCACAAGTAATGTGGTTATCATAAATTTAAAACAACGCATTTTCCGCGCAGTCTCACCGCCCACCGCAAGGAGCAATGACTTCCGAGTAAGGGTCATGGGTGTATGCTTCTTCTGCAAGAGACACTGAAATATACATAACATAAAACATAATAATAATGTTATAAATAAGGACACACAGAAATGGGTGGTCTGGATTTGGTACTACCTACTTTTGCATGCTTACTCTTATTTTCTTTTTTTTTTATTTATTTTTTTCTGTTACTTTTACGGAAAAATTTTCTCTCTGTCCAGTAAAAAATTCTCTTTTTCGCATTATAAAGACGAATTATTAATCATTAGTCTTTAATATTAAATTCCAAAGCCTGGAAATTAACATTAAAAATAAAATAAAAATTAAATTTCAATCTCGAAGATTAAACACAAGACGACAACTTACAATCTATCCTTCTAGAATTTATCAAATTAAATTTTTAATCAATCTTCTCTTCAATTATTTTCATACACTGTTAACTATAACGGAGCAGATAAAATTTCATATCTAATCAATCATCATCGTTTTTACCCGATGAAATTTAATAAACTCCATCCCTGAAAATTTTCCAATAAACTTACAAAAAAAAAAAAAAAAAAAAAAAAAAAAAAAAAAAAAACATTATTTAAGTCGATGAAAATTTTTAATGAATTTTCTTATTAACTCTTTGTAAGCTTATGAGATTTTTAATTGATCAAACAATTTTATTTACTCTTAGCTGATGAAGCGGAAAAAAATTACAGCAATTCCCTTGATAGCTGCAATGAATCCAGAGTAATTACAGCTTGTATTAAACTTGTTATATTTTCTTTTGATAAATAAAATATGAATTGTTAATGAAGAAAAATGTTTAAGTAATATTAGTATAGTGACGATAAAAGTTAAAAAATATTAAAACTTGTTATTTTCATCTTAATTTCCTTCTCAAGTTTCATTTTCCTCTTCCTCTTGTTCAAGATCTTCCTTCATTCTCCTTTTTTTTTCCGTGTTGCTTCTTCATCACCTTGATTCCTCTAGTGATGATTAATAACCACCTTAGTTTTTACAATTCATCTCTCAACTAGAATAATAATTTATATTTTTTTCGGTAAATCACAATTACTCACCGGACGAATGACGCAATAAAAGGTAATAATAAAAATTTATGTTACACGATTTTAAAATTTTTTTTTCATTATTAATATTTTACATCCTTTTACACATAAACTAAAATCAATGTCGCTTTGAGGTAATCATCAATTTTTTATTATAAAAAATACATTATTGCTATGTAAATAAATACTGTATAATACTTTAAATTATTTCTGTCTATTTTATTTTTATGTAGAAAAAAAAATGAGAAAGATCTATTTTTCAGTTATCTGAACATTAGGACAATTAGTAGCAGAACTAGTTGACAATGAAATTCTTTTGATAACGATGACCATGATGATGACACTGGCACGTAGCCTGCGTCGCGTTGCATCGCTTCTGTGCGTTCACCTAAAAAAAAAAAAGGCTTAATTATTTTTTACAGATAAAAAAAAACTGAATCTAAAATTGAAAAACTTTTGATGATTTTTTAAAGTTAAAAAAAAATAAAATGTGGTAATAAAAAAATTGTAAAAAAAAATTCCATACGTAGAAATTGTAAAAAACGATAAGTGAAATTTTTTTTTATTTTTCTATATAATTAATTTTTTTTGTTAAATAAAATCTTACCTACACGGAAAAAAATAAGTAGTAAATGCAACATGATTTGTCATGTTGCGATAGCATGAGAAAAATCATGTGGCAGCAACATGATTTTCATGTAGCCTTATTAGCACAAAATTAAGCTGCAACAACTAAATATTTATGGTTTAAATAAATTATTTATTATCAAGCAACTAGATTTTTTCGGATTTATAATGATGTGGATGCCACATGACAATCATGTTGCGGTAGAATGAGAAAATCATGTGGATGCTACATGACAATCATGTTGCGGTAGCATGATAAGAATTATATGGCAGAAACATTATTTGTCATGTTTCGGCTACATGACAATCATGTTGCGATAGCATGAGAAAAATCATGTGGCAGCAACATGATTTGTCATGTTTCGGATACATGACAAATCATGTTGCTTTGTCATGTTTCGGCTACTTGAAAATCATGTTGCGGTAGCATGAGAAAAATCATTTGACAGCAACATGATTTGTCATGTTTCGGATACATGACAATCATGTTGTGGTAGCATAAGAAAAATCATGTGGCAATAACATGATTTTTCTCATGCTATCGCAACATGATTGTCAAGTAGCCGAAACATGACAAATCATGTGGCTGCAACATGATTTCATCATGTTTATTTACCAAGACTGCATCATGTTGCATTTACTATTTATTTTTTTCCGTGTATGATCGAATTAACGAAAATTAAGTAAAGATAGTGTATTAAATGAATTAATTAAAAATCATTTCAATTTTTTTATACAGAAAAAAAAATTAATATTCAAGAAAATTATTCTTGCTTTTTATAATTTATTTGAATCAATTTTATTGTGAAAAATGTGATTATGAGGCGTGCACTTTTGGATTTTCCAAACTTTTTTTCTAATATTTAAACATATAACTTTAGATATGATTATCTTAACTCACACTCAGTTGCTCGTTAATCGAATCAAATAAGAATGAACAAAATAGAAAATAACAGAAGTGGTTAATGAAGAAAAAAAAGACAAGGGGCATAATACTTCTAGTGGATAAAGTTAAGAAGGTCGACGGGATGTTTGTATAGTACATGTATAAAGATATATACAAGAATAAGAATAAGTATAGTTTGAAAGGAGGTTAAAGTTGCTCAGTTGAGCATTGTGTATACCTTACAATTGTGTGTGCTAGGTACGATAGAATTTGCCGGTTGCTGATCGAAAGTATCTGCAATCCCCGCGGGACAATGGACGAAATTGAGGAAAATAAATAGGGAGTTGAGACGAAGAATTGCAAACCTTTCTACTTTCATACATATATATCACTGTATCGTTTCGACATGAGACCAAAAAATTTATTAAATAGACCTCTCATCGATTTTATTGTTGCCCCGAGAAAAATTTCTTCTACGTCGGCTACTCAGATCTTGACAATCAACTCAATAATCGCGATACTAGTCGAATGAAATTTCATTTTTTTTTGTCTTGACAATCATAAAAATGTAGATTTAATTTTTAATTTTTAACAATAATAATAATAAAACTTTTTAAAAAATTTTAGTTGAGAATAGAGATACAATCAAAAATGTGTCTAGCCTGTGGAATAAATATTGTGCGTCATTGCAGTGAAGAAAACTTTGGTTGGTTGTTGCCAACGCGATCTAAATCTCCGGTACTCTATTCTGCCTTTCGAATATATAATGGTCTCCTGCCCAAAACAAATTGGTAAAAGAGAAAAGGATATGTTGTGTCGTAAAGTGAGAAAGCTTTAATATAACAGACATAGCCGAGAGAATGGAACTCGGGGTAAAGGTTAAAGAGAAAAGAAACAGAATAAAAAAATTTCCAAGGGTGAAAGTGGTGTGAGCTTTTTCTGTACTCATGAGACTGCTCGAAAAATATTTCAATATATTGATTTGGTATTTTTATATTTTATTACTAATTACTAATTGTCTTTATTATTATTTTTTTTTTTAAGCTTTACTCTTATCTAAGGCCTTGTTTTTTAAAGAAAAATATAATTAGCTTTATTCGCCTTTATGATGCCTTGTTTAATTAAATTTAATCGTCAAATTATCTCCAGATCTCGCATTAAGAAAGAAAGATCTATAAAAAGTACGCTAAGATGACAGCAGAGAGGCTGAGGGTCGCTCAGACAGGCTAAAAAAAATTTCTTGAGATACAGAGGAAAGGGGAGTTAAAAATGATAAAATAGGAGTAGGTAGATACTGTTTCTATCTCTCTAACTTTTGATATATGCATGACGTTATTTACGATTGCATAAGAATTAGCTCGTGGTATATCCAATTCAGAGGTGGATGAAAAATAAATAAACTCGATGTCGAGGGTAGAGTAAGTTTGTAAGATGGCAGTCTACATTTTTTGGTAATAAAATTTCAAAATTTAAGTTCTTTTAATGGAAATGCTTTTGGAGAAAGTATGAGACTCTTTATCATCGGATTTTTCACGTTTTATTTTATTTATAAAAAGTTAAATTATTATAGTAGACTAAATCTTTGAGAATTCGTCAATTTAAGGGTGGAGAAGAATTATAATACCTAAAAAGAAAATATTTCTACACAATTTTTTATTGAAAAAATTTCAATTAAACAATTAAAAAAAAAAATTTCACATGTAAAAAACTTGAAAATCTATAAGTGCAATTTTTTAGAAATATCTTTTTAGTTGTAATTTAATTAATAAAAAAAATCAAAAATTTTTAGACGTCTGCTAACTTCAGTGTCATTTATTTATTTATTATTCAATTTTAAAAATTACTAAAGAATTTAAAGGAAAAAATTTTTTTAGAATTGTTCTTAAAGCTTTTTAAAAAATAATTTGAGAAAAAAGTTATCTTTATCTGATTTTAAAAGCAACTATGTATAACCTTTTTGTAAGAGTCTTAAAAGAGAAATAAAATACCGAGTATTAAGAAGAATGATCGTAGATCACGTTCTAGCTATTTGTCTAGCTGATCTTCTCGGGAGGGATCGGTAGGTTACCTCTATGTATAAAGGGTTTAGAAGTGAAAGAATGGAGCTGAAAAATGGTCGAGGTCAAAGGCGAAGATTCGTCTAAAAAATATCACCGAATTTATTAAAAATTCAAGAGTTGTATTTTCACATTTCGAAAAATCGGAAAAAATATTAATAATTGTGAAAAGCCCACGACGGACCGAGTTTAGAAGTTGATGGAAAGATAGTAATTTTTGTTAAAAAATTTTCAAAAAAATTAAAATGTACAATTACATTGAAAAAAAATGTTTAAAAGTTAAAAACTCAATAATTTTTTTTCTCGAACCACTTTTTTATTTAATTTTGTAAAAATAGTTGTTAAAAAAATTTTTTAAATAATCAGTGATTATTTTTTTATCTGTCAGTGTACTTCTTGTAGCATTCATATGCATATTATGTCTGTCGGATACAAATTATTGTGACGAAACACGGGATCTTAATTTTTAGGCGAGAGTAGAGCATACCTACACTCATGCAAAAAATTGCAGAAATAAAAAAAAAAAGTTTATCAAATCGTCCGATTCGACCTAGCATGCCCCATATATATTTACTGAAATTGGAATATACTGAGATTGATAAATGAAAATTCAAGGGATATCAAGTGTATAACTACATAAGCATGTTGCTCTCTATTTTCATGAATTTTCCGTCGGAAGTTATAGCGCAGTTGCTCTATGAAGCAAAGTCGCATTTTTACATAATTCAACTCCCATCTACCATCTAGAATCTGGCATCCAGCATCCACTATCTAGCTGTTATAATATCATATATTTATATACGTACAAAACTGTTCCTGTTTATACCGCCCGGAATCTCGTCTCTATCTCTACCGCTATCTCTATCTGTCTTGCAGAATCGGTACCAAATTTTTTGCAGCAACACATACGCAGTCTACGTAAGTACGAGTACTCACTTTAGTCACGATAAATCAAAACTTTTGGTGACTATTCTCGTTTCACAGTTTCGCAGATTACAAATTTACGTTGTTTTACAAATATATTATACTGTTTTAATCTCCTTTTTGAACCAACTATAATAAATAATTTTGATTTATCTACAAGTAGCTTTTCATTTTTTATGTTTTACTAATTTTCCACTAATTCATCAGTGGATGAAGGTGTTATGTCCCACTTACTCTAGTTTTTTTTTTACGTACATATAAGTGTTTATTTTAGCGACCCATATTCTGACTTTTCATTTTATAACAATACCTAAAACTTAACTCTCTTCTAGGGAGAAGATTTAGCGACCATGCGCCACCTGTCGGGAATTTTTGACACTAACTTTTGTCAAAAAATTATATATTGACAGATAATCATATTAGGCTTCATATAAGCATATCAAGTCGTATCAAGACTTATTAAAAATTATGGATGGACATATCAGACAATTTTTTTGACCGGACTTAACATTATATGTACAATAAAAGCTTAAAGTAAATTTAAAATTTTTTATTGGTCATTTCTTGTCAAATCGATCAATAGTTGGAATCGTCTCTTTTTCAATTGAATTAAAATTAAAAGTTTTTTGAAAATTATTCATTATTAAAATTTTTATTATTTTTTAAATTTATCTTCAAATTTTTAAAAAGCTTAACAATTTTAGCGTCGCATTTTTTTAATTTGATAAATATGAATTAAATTTTGATAAAAATATTTTTTTTTTCTACTTTGAAGTCAATTATAGTAAAAAAAAAATGTAATTTCATTTTATGCAGAAAAAATAAATTTTATGACATTAAAATGTAACAATAGAAGCATGTATCAAAATATTAGCTGCTAAAATCAAGATTTTAAAAAACCAAAAATTGAAAAAAAACATTTACTTATTTATTTTTTTTTTTTGTAATAATTTTAAGGATATTTGTTAATTTAAAAAGATAGTCTAACATTAATTTGCTGTAAATTCACTCAAAAAATCTAAACATTAAAAAAAATTCAATTTACCTTGTTCAACAATTAACAGAATAGTATCAGCTCTTCCCTCAGTCGGTCGACAGGTGTATTTACCCATGTCTTCCATAGTCACTGACGCGAGAGTTACTTCGGAGCTTGTGCGCCCAGCAACTCGTTCTGTCTCAATGACTAAACCACCGCGTCCCGGCTGTGAAAAAAAATGTGAATGATAAAAGTCAAGAGGGAGTGTAAAATAAATAAAAAAGTAATATCGTTGGCGCGTTGATTTATTATAGAAAAAAAATAAAAATAAAATAAAACAAGAGGTAGATTAAAGTCGAGTAGAAGATGATGAGACCGAGTGAAAGAAAAATGATGAAGAAAAATATAAATCTAGAGTGTAGAGTATAAAATACTGAAGCTGTGTACAACCCGTCGACGTCTGCTATCGGTGGATATATCAGTGTGTGAGGATGTGTTATATTTGTACATGAGACTGTGTATCATCGGAGAGTCGAATTACCTGGAATGTCAGGAGTTTGTTGTCTCGCAGCCATTGTGCGCCTCTGATGGGCCGCGGCTGATACGGAGACGTTATTATGCACCTTAGGGTGATCGTCGAACCTGATGGCACCCGTTGCTCCCGTGGACCCATTATTGTTGCGACTGGAGCTGTACTTTCGTAACCTGAATGGACAATACTCATGTCAATAGATCATGATTATTATTATTATAAATTATATTATATTATGTTAAACACCTTTTATGTGACATGTTACTGTCATGATTATAGCCAGCGATATTAAATCGTAAGTCATAAGTCAATTTATTTATGAAATTTTTTATCATTTTTTGTATTATTGCAATTATGAAGAAAAATCTTGATTAAAAATTTTACGGTCTTGAATTCTTGGCTTAAGAGATTTTTATCTTCAGTCGACAACTACACAAAAAAGGTTCATTTGAGCCGAGAAAATATTTATTTGAGCAAAAAAAGTAAATTTATCAAAAAATTATAGACCTTTTTTGAAGAGCGTTTAATTTTGTATAAAAAAGTTAACAATATTTTTTGTTAAGTTGCTCGTAAAGGCGAGATATAAAATTCTTAAGTTTGAAAATATTTCTTTTCTTGTTATTTAAATAAAAAATTGTTAAATTATTAAATAAATTTTTTGTTAAATTATTAAATTGTTAATTTATTGTCGAAAATTCAAAAAATTCAAATTACATTTTTACAAAATTGAATTTCTCCAAGCTAGAGTAAAATTTTGAAAAAAATATTTTTTTTTAATCAAGTAAAAATTTTTAACGCTCATAATAAAATAGTAATTATCAATATCTATTAAAACTAATTAGTTAGTAAAACAAATGTCAAAGTTTGAAGTACTAATGACTTATGTAATGAATGAGTACAGAAGGAAACGATTCAAAATGGTAGATAATAATGCATAGTAATAATGATAAAGACAACAGTGAAACGTCATAATATTCTCTTTGGGCCGGAGCAAATATAATATCCCACTGGATTAAATTAACTCCAATAGGATTATCTTTAATACATGTTGTCTTTAGGTATTTCGAAGAGAATAAGCGACCTACATAGGTAAAATATTTTTGTGAATTTATTTTAACATCCGGAAATTAAATATCATGGATGATAAATTAATTTCTTTTTGTTTTTAATTAATAAAATGATGGGTATTTTTTTATTCGAGAAAAATTTTTTCGATAAAAATAATTCACTCAGTGAATTCAATAGAAAGTAAATATATATATATATATATATATATATATATATATATTGTTTGATATTGATCGTAATAGTATTGCACTCTCGGTTAAAATTATACCGGATTAGTCGGCAATAATTAACCGCAATCCACCCGGCCATGATTACGATTTAATGGAATTCGTTCGACCACGGAGGGAAACCGAGAGACTAAAAAAAATAATAAGATAATAGGAGTTGATCCAGATGATTTGTGACTCTCTAATGAACATTCCATTATCTCATTCTTCACTGGTTCACTGGATTCATCGGTTAAACATGACATATTTCTGTGTAATTATCATAGTCGTTCTACTTTTTTAATTTTATACGTCAAAAATTTTTTTTGACATGACCAGACACTCCCATGTATGATTTTTAGCGAAGTAGCCACTGATTTAAAAAATGAATAATTTATTAAAATCTTTTTTATAAGCTACAAATTTTACCCAAGGCTCAAAAAAAGAAATTTTCTTTTTTTTCCAACTTAACGCATATATGTAATGATTGGATCAAAAGTAGTATTGAAAATTTTCGACAGAGGGCGCAAGATCGCTAAATTGTCTCCTTAGAAGAGAGTTATAAGTTCTAAAATAAAAATCAATGTTTTTTTACTTTTTAAGAATTTTATCCGTCATTAATTATTAAATTTATCTATTACTAAACCAATTTTTGGCTTGTATATTTCATTAAAAAATTTTTTGATATGTCATAGATGGCTATATCAGGCTATGTACGAGAAGAAAATAATTTATTGTGATTTTCTATTTTTTCTAGAAATTGAATGATCAATTAAATCATGTATAAATATATCATAATCATCAAAAATTGGTTTATTAGTTAATTAAAATATAAATCTTTCAACCCAACTCTCTAGTATTGAGATAATTCAGCGATCATGCGCCATCTGTTGGATATTTTCAAAACTAATTTTCGTCGAAACATCATACATGGGGATTTATGACCATTTAAGTCTTGTATGGACAGATAAAATCATATCAAGGCATGTAAAAAATTATATATAGACAAATATAGCCATATTAAAAAATGTTTCCCCTGTAATCAAGTAATATTTATTTTAAAATAAAAAATATTCTACGAATGGCAATAATTTTTTTTCTTACAAGAGAAAAGTCTAATCAAACTATATTAAATCGTTTGAATATATTAAAAAATAATTATACAGCACTCGCTGATTGAAAATTCAGCTGTTTTTAAAACTAAAATCTCTGAAAGATTTTTAAACTATTGGAGCGCACTCAACCGCTCGGATATTTATCCAGCGATGTACAAACTATATACATATAAATATAAATATAAAAAAATCCGAGTAACGAGAAACGTCGACGATAATTTAACTTTGTGGAAAAAAAGTAATGCCCTGGCAGGAATAGAGTGCGGGTAGAAACATGAGGTTTAATTCAAAGAAAATTGTCGAAGAAACGCAAAAAGCGCAAACATAAAATGAAGATGAAAAAGACGTCGGGGGTGACGCGCTAACGGAGAGATTTAAGTTAAAGAATGGAGCATAGAGCTACGACGAAACTTTTAAGGTTTCTGAGTAGAGCATACTAGAAAAGTGTTGGTTTCGGAAAACGAACGAGGTATACTATGTGTCAAGGACAGACTAGCGTACTTTCTTCGACTACGCTTCCTACAATCTACGCTTTTATTTATTTTCTTATTTTCGTCTCCCTCTTCCTCTTTCTGGGAAGTGATCGATGGTACGGCGACTCAAGTGGTCAAATAAAGGCTTTGTTTCAAACGATTATATCCCCGGGTATTTTTTTTTATTCCTTCAGCTTCTGCCCTCGACACACTATTTTATTGCAAGTTGGCGGAAAATTTAGCAAGTTACTTCCATCGAAGCGAGCTTGCTTTTGTGAAAAGCGCTAGTTAGTGCTTATATTAATTAATAATTCATAATTATTCGTGATTTATGATTAATGAGGTTGAACTTACTCGATTGAGTCTGCTGCGAATGCGGAGAATCATTTCCTTCTGAGACCTCGGAATCTGAAACAAGGAAAGAGACTTCTTGGTGAGGATGAAGAATTACGTCAATCGATCATTTTCGGGCTCGGGATTGAGGAAGGTTAAATCGACGACGATTAAATGAGAAACGTTTAGCGGTTTGTGGGTGAAGGATCATTAGCATTACCATTTTCTCGGTTTTTGTTATTATTTTTATGGTTATAGTGATATGATATGATGATTGAAGTTCTTTTCGAGCACATCAATCACCAATTTCAACTTATTGCGCGGTTCAATCAAAGTAAAAGGATGAAGGAAGGGTGAAGTTTATATATTTAGCGAATATTTCTTTCTGTCGGTTTGTAAATGTACGCAGAAAGGAAAATTAACTTGAATCAATAGAAAAATTATTGAGCCAATTAAATAAGAAAATAATTATCAACACAAAAACTTGTTGATTAAATTGGAAATTTTCTTCGAACATTTTAGTAAAAATTTGGAAAATTCAAAAGCGCATTATTTGTAAATTTTTGTTAGTAGATAAAATACTAATCACAGAAAGAAAAAAAAATTGATTGAATCGAGACTAAATTACCGACATTCAGTATTAATACTATAGTATGGATACAGTTTAAGCTTTCAAGCTGTATTTAGAAAAAAAAATAACATATGGCTGCTAAAAGACAACAAAATTTCTCTCAAGACCAACCAAAAAAATTTATTGTAATTAAATGAAACGGTTTCAAGCTACAGTTTGTATTCCTTCTGTTCGCAAATTAATGATGAATCAATTAAAAAAAAAAAAAAGTTTAAAAATGAACTTTTATTAAAGATATAGTGTTTACCCCGACAGTGATTTGTAAAAATATACACTACGAGCGCCCAAAAACCACTTTTTTATGTAATTATGTAAAAATAGTTGTTAAAAAAATTTTTTAAATAATCAGTGATTATTTTTTTATCTGGCAGTGTACTTTTTGTAGCATTTATATGCATATTATGTCTGTCAGATACAAATTATTGTGACAAAACACGGGATCTTGATTTTTAGGCGAGAGTAGAGTTCACGCTTAAGGCATGAAAAAATTCTTACCTTTGACAATAAGTAAAATAGTATACATAATCTTGGGCTCTGTATTAACTTGACATTCATAATTTCCCGTATCACTTTTTTTGGTGTCCTCTAGCTTGAGCGTCCAGGCATCGCTCCCAGGAGTGTGTACCGGACTGAACCTCTGGTCAGAGCTAAAAGTAATGTCGCTGGACGTCAAAATATGGAGATCTTTACTGCGTATCCAGGACACCTGGAAAAGAAACAAAATACATGAATGATTAGTGATTGTGATTACTCTTCTCATCTATCACGTCGTAAAGCAAAAAGTGAAAGAAAAGAAAAAGAGAATGAACTTTCTGATGAATGGATGAATAAAAATAAGAGTATTGACTAGCACTAGCCAGGAATTCAATTTGGAGATTGGGAGCAGCGGTGATTGAACAAGATATTATATAGGCTGTTGTTGGAAAAAGTAATGGGAGATAATATTCGACAGCGAGTTTAGTTATAGTTACAAGCTATATCTGTAGTTAACTTCAACAACAGAAGAAAATAGATAGAAGGCCAAAAAGTAGAATGAGAGTAGAGGAAAATGCAACAAACGTGGCTGGCAAACTGGTCCGCGGCTTATCCGATCCTCGTATTTTTCAGTATTCGACTACTCCTATAGTTATAGAGACGAACGTTCGGATATTCGGATATTAGATATCCGGTTATCGACCACAGTACTCATTTCCTATATTTATTACGAGACAGTCATTTAAACTGGGCTCTTCTTTTTTCTTTAAAGTACTTCATTACTTTTATATTGTTAGGATGAAAAAACATTTTTCAATAATCGATAGATAAACAATTGATATTTACTCGATGCCATAAGTCACCTGCTCTACGAGTTATTAAAGTTTTTTTAAGATTAACTAGTAATCACCGATACTTGGATATTACAATTGGAAACTTTAATAAAGAAATTTGGAAAATTCAAAAGAGCATGACTTGATCCATTTAATTTTTAATATAAATAACTTTGTTTTTTTTTTTTTATATAGTAAAATGAAAAAGTACTTTGTTTGAATGTAACTAAAAGTTTTACTTATTTTCCACATTAAAAAAAAATTAATTTGATTCAAGAGAAATATGTTCGGACCAAGAAAATTATTAAGAGCTTCACTGTATTGAATTAAGCCAAAAAATTTTTAAATAAAATATAAATTTTTAAATGAAAATTTTCTTACTTGCATAGGGACGATAAAATTCTGTAAAATGATTTTCTTGGTTCGAAAATGTGTCTTTTGATTCAAGTTAATTTTTTTGCAGTGCATAATTCAATTATTGACAGATAATAAAGACTAGTTAAGGGAAATTTGTGAGGAAATTATAAATATCCATTTAATCAACAAGTTTGCCTGTCAATCATTATTCAGTATATTTTCTTTAAAACGCCTGGAACAATTTGCATATACGGCCATGTAAGAAACAACACCATTACAATTAGGGCTTATTTTAATATTATTTTTTATCTAAAATATTAACATAATAGGAATTCAAATTGCGCGCATACGCGCGCGCTTTAATCCTAACCAATAAGGAATCAGTAACCATTTTTTCGATATTTTCGATACTACAATAACTTCATTCAATCATCAATTTTATATTATAGGATTATAGGATATACAATATAGTCTTATTGTTTAAGTAACTATCCAAAACTCATATTATTCTAATACACTTCAAATATTTTTTTTTATAGTAAAAATAGCCTTTTTTTAAATGTTTTATAGAAAATCTCCTTGAATAATAATAAACATCAAAATTTATCAATAGTTTTCTGTTTTTTATAAATATCTTTCAAAGATCCCGCTTTAGAGCTAAATAAAATGAAAGTTCAAGTTTTAGGACATTTTTAGATTAATAACAATAATAAATTCTTCTGGTTATAAAATTACAAATAAAAAACATCCCACGGACATTTCCTCAATAGTGCACTGAAAAAAAAATTAACTTGATTCGAGAGGAAAATTCTTGAACCAAGAAAATAATTTTGAAGAGGATAATTGTCTTGAATCAAGATGAAAACTTCTTGAATCAAGTAAAAATTTCTTAGTTTAAGAATTTTTTTACTTAAATCAAGAAGATGAAGTTTTTCAAAATTATGTACTTGATTCAAGTGTTTTTTTATTTTTCTCTTTTTGTATATCTTCTACTTATGCTGTCATTTTGAGTCACAATCTGTCATTTTAATAATGACTATGTTTATGGTTTTACATGTACTTTAATTATATTCTTTTATATTTTTGCCATCTGACTTTTTGCTTTGGCATTTAAATCTGAATAAATACACTGAAAAAAAAGTTTTTTTATACCCGGAATACTGAATATTTTTTAGTCGAGTTTTCTTGTACGAAGTAAAAGTCAAGTTAAATATTTTAGATTTAAGAAAACTGGTATTTTAAATTTGAGAATACCAAGTTTTTTAACAGGACTAAAACTAAATTCTATATTACCATAGCAACCGTGACGGTGGCGCCACTATTTTGTCATTTCCCTCGAATCTACAGTGTACGCGTGTTTTTTAGTTATTTGTTTACCTCGTGCCTGAGTCTAGTTACCTAAATATTTATTTGTGTAAATTAAATAATTTATAAATTATAAATACAATGAGAATTAAAAATAAGAAAAGAAAGGCTTAATATACTATTTTTCATTTTTATTAATTTTAGTGTGATAGATTGTTTATAAATGAAAAATTACAAAAAATGTAGTTTCTCATAATTATCTATCCTAAAGATTCGTGTCGACCAAGCGAGGTTAAGTCGGCCATATTGATTGTAGTATTTTAATAATGAGAATACCAAGTTTTTTTATATCCAGTAAACTTATTCCTATGGATAGTAAACTTTGGTATTCTTATTTTAGGAATACTTTTTTTTTAACCACAGGGAAAAGTTTTCTAGGAGGAAAAAAACTTTTTTTTCAGTGTACACTAAATGTAACGATTAAACTAAAAAATTTTAATTTTATAAAATTAACCAATTTAAAAAATTTTGAATCTCCTCATCTCGCCGAGATTTTTAACAAAAAGCAGGTTCTCTCATAAAAAATGAAAGATCTGAAGTAGTAACACAGGAAACACGTGAAATGAATTATCTAATTCATCCCAAAGCCATTTAAAATCCTCAACCCAGAGATTTTTGAACCTCTTCACACAGTTTATTCTGTTTTCTTTTCCTTTCACCTATACAGCACACCATCAAGTCTTTTCCATCTGCAACTTGGAATTTTTTTTTCATTTTTTCGGGTTGTTTTTTTCCACGACCTCAAAGCTACAGTTCTATTTTGGTGCATTCACCGTACTGGCGTCGGACCAAATACCATAGCAATACAAGTCGAGGCGTATATATTCACACATATATAAAAATAAATGTTTGTGTGAGGAGGAACTCTATCCCAGCAGCTCTAAGTAAAGCATAATAAGAGAAAGAAATAATAAAAAGCATAAAGAAATAAAGAAAAGGCTGATGTTAGCATCCTAACGTTTTATACTGTTTGGCAAAACGTCCTTGTGTGCCCTTGCACATTGGCTTACGTACCCACAACCCACATAGAGTGGTATTAGTACTGCGAAAGCTGCTTCACTCTTTTCAACGCGACTAGTCGCCTTTACTTTTGGTCGAGCGCTATTTTTTCTCTCCCTCATCCTATTTTATATTTCGTATTTTGTACTTTCTGTTTTATTTTTACGCTTTTTATTGTGGGTATATTTTATTATGAGTATAGAGAGGCCGGAGCTCCGAGCTGCGTGTAACACACCCCATACTCTCTCAGTACTGCGTCCATAGCGCTGCAATTGCAGAAGCTCCACCAGCTTTTGCTTGCTACCGTCAAGAGCTTACTTTCATATTATTGTTGTATAAATCATGAACAAACTCGGGACGTATAAAACTTCCTTCTTCCATTGCCTTCTCTGACCCGACCACCAAGTTATATATATATATATATAAGTATATAGAGAGAATTTAAATCGTGTGTTCTATGGTTTATCATACATATATATAAATCATTATAAGAGTTTTTATTTCGACTTTCTAGTGAAAAAATTTTACGAAATTCACTTTGTTTTTTAAATAATAAAAAATATTTTTATTATACAAAGAAAAAAAAAATTTTTATTTTATTTTTCCATTAAAAATATTTTAATTGATACTTGCATTGTTTATTTAGATAATAAAAGATATTTTTTTATTATAAAAAAAACAATAAAAATTTCTTGTTTACTTTTTTTATTGAAAAAAATTTTTTTGTGTTTTTAATAATAAAAAATATCTTTTTGCTATAAAAATAAACAGTTAATTTTTTTTTTTTCAACACGAGGGTTGCAAAAAATTTAATTAAAAAATTTTACATCTTTTTGTTTACATCTTTCATTTAAAATAATTATAATTCTTTAAATTAATAATTTGTTATAATTATTAATTTAAAAAAAATACATTATTATTAAATTTGATTAATTATTTATTTTTCAAAAAATTGATTAATTAAATTTTTCTAGGGATTAATTTTTTTAAAAATGCATTGAGTAAAAATAACCGCATATTTCAATAATTAAAAAAAAATGTATTTCATTAATAATTCATCTAAAAACTTATTAAATAAATTAAATATTTTTTTTATTATGCCAAATATACCTAAACTAAGCCTTATTCTTATTACCCAGCAGTACATTGCATTTATTGAGCTAAAAATAGTCTGAGAAAAGTAAAAAAAAAAAACTAGAATAAAATAAACGCATACTCTAAAGTTGCATGTGAATAAAATTGGCTCCTAAGAAACTTGGAAATGACAAGGAAATACCGAAAGAAAAGGAAATGGGAATGAAGTGGCTGGAAAGTGGACTCATCAGTATGCAAAATGTTTTAGTCAGAGGGTACACGCGTGGCCTCTTGTGTTCTCCATTTGTTTCGTCTCTTTTCACTACAACTACCTTCTACCTGCCAGCCATTGACTATTTCACCATACTTCTTCTCTTTCTGTCCATATATTTTCTATCTTGCTCTTATAGACCCGATGTGACACCCCCGCATCCATAGAGTACTATACTATTCTCCTCGACGCTCAGTGGCTCTGTTCGAAAAGTAAAGTATTACAGACACGCTTGAATACGTGCTCCCTCTTTGTTCTTCTTGATCTTCAGCTTCTCCTTTATCCTCATCTTATCCTTATTCTACAGCGCTAGTGTACAATACTGTAGTATAATTATCTTCTCCGGATAATATACTCTCTTTTCTCTTTAGCTGTTTAACATGCTTCAAGTCATCTCTAATTTCACGAGTCTTCCGGTTTTGTTTTAATCTACTCAATCACCACGACGTCTTTGATGTTTTATCTTTTGTGTGCTCTGCTTTATGCAGTAAAATATAATTTATTTTAACTATTTTAATTCTGATAAATACCAGCTTTTAAATTATATACGAGCTTTATTATTTTAAAACCTTTATAAATATTAATTAGATTTGTTTCCTTTATAAATTCAACAGTTGAACAATTTAATGCAATAGATAAATTTATAGAAAACGGGAGTCATTATAAAAATTTAATTATTTTTATTTTAAAATTTGACAGCTTAAATTTTATGTATTCAAAAAATATACTTATAATTTCAACTGGAGGCGCTGAAAACTTTGCGAAAAAATATTTTAATTATAAAAACTTATAGTGGATTTTATAGCTGATACTCTGAGGATTCTAAAAATGCCGGCGAAGACATAAAAATAATTAGTTGTCTAATTTTAATCATTGATCAAAGTTTAAAAAAAAAAAAATTTTTTTTTCGT